GGTCCAGGCATAGAATAAGTCAGTCCTTTCTTTCCCGTGGATGTCGTAAGAGGCAATTAAGGGAGGGCAGCAGCGCCCGGCTTAAAACATCATAAAAGCCTAACTGCTAAGATTGGCAACTATTGGCAAAACTCTCCCTTATTGGGTAGACCTATGTTCAACAGTAGACAGTTAATAATTGATATAATAATAAGGAAGCCATAACTTCGTCCGCGTGATCGGGATATGTTTACTAACTGGCATAAAGTTAATTTTAAACTTTCGCGTTATATCCAAATGTCAGCAATAAAGAAGCAGTTATGTAGATACTATTTCCTTGTAAAGAGAGAGGGAGACTTTGAACAAAAGTCGATTGTTTGGGTACCTCTGTCCCATTCGTGTTTCTACCGTGAAGCAGTTGTGTTTGCATAGCTGTGTTTCGGTTTGAAGGGTGGGATATGGCGTGAATTTACAGGGTACAGAGGAATAACACCTGAGTTCTCAGGAATGGCAACGCATGGGGAGTATCATGGACGAAACAGTATACTCTGTTATGTCCATGGTACTGCTCATGTCTATAGGCGACGGTTACTACTTTCCATCAGGTGGGCCGTCAGCTTGTTTGCCATTCTAAGTTGTATAAAAAAAAGGCTTTCACATCGCCTCTGCTATTGCAGGTGTTTTTAGGCTACGGTAACCACTTACCATCAGGTGGGCCGTATACTTGTTTGCCACCTCAGTGGTATAAAAAAATATATGTACGTTTGTTTTAAAAATAGTAATTAATTTATTTTGATTTTTACACTCGATTTAGTGCAAAAATAATATTATTTTAAAAAATCTGACCTCAATTGTAGCATATCAGTTATTTTAATTTAAAAACTAAGGTACTGAACAGTTTTTGATAAAATTTCTATGAAACCGATCTATAAATCCCTTGAGACGAAAAAAGAATTTGAAAATCAGTGTATAACTGACAACATTATGAGATAACAAATATAAAAGAAGTCTTCTTAAAGTATTTTTGAAGTCGTTTGAAAATCTATTTATAATTACTGCAAATATCACTTAAAACACAAAACAAAAATTACATCCAAATTGAGAATTACCTCGTTTTTGAACGATACAGTTATTTGGGCATGTGTATGTTGGTTTGCCCTTGCCGATTGGGTAGTTCCAAGTTTATTTTACTAAGTTTGGAGTAATAACGATTTTGTCTTTGATTTGGATATAATTTTAATATATAAGCCACTAAATATATAAATTTACAATATTTTTATATATATGAAAAAAAAGGTGATGGTATATAATATAAGTAAAGTATAACGAATAACGTGAACGTAGTTGCTGATTAGTAGGTCGTCGCAATTTGCTTCACACTTCACGATGCTCGCAGCAACCATATATTATACAGGAACAACAGTACTAAGGTAAAGTTACAGGTTATAAAACTTAAAGAAACTTTTTATTATCCGAGTAAAAAAACTATTTGCCAAGTAACCGTGCCAACTTTTATGCAGTTTGTTATCAAAATTCATTTTAGTAGCTTCCCATTGACATATCTTATCCTAAATGTGAACGCTTGGAGAAATGAATGACCGAACGGATATATAATAAGGAACATAATAATATCAAGTACTTTATTTTAACCGGAGGGAGACTTTGTACAAAAGCCGTTTGCTTGTGCACCTCTGTCCCATTTTTATTTCTACAGTGAATCTGTTGTGTTCGCATAGCTGTGTCTCGGTTTGAAGGGTGGGATATGGCATGAATTTACAAGGTACAGAGGAATAACAACTAAGTCATGGGCGTATCATAGGCGAAACAGTATAATCTGTTATGTCCATGGTACTGCTCATGTCTACAGGCAACGGTTACCACTTTCCGTCAGGTGAGCCGTCGGCTTGTTTGCCATTCTAAGTTGTATAAAAAAATATCACAGAAATATTCTTTATATGAAATTAGAAATAGAAACATAAAAGTCTATTTTTTTTAACGCGCTACCTACTTATTTATTCTTTAATTATTTCTACCCAAAGATTATCTGGAAGAGATTGCTTAGCAATAATCCTGTAATATTGGTGCAATAAAATGTTATATACCTAAATAAATAAGTCTGTAATAAAAGTAACAAATCAATACATTTAATCAATTAACCGATTTTATTGGTTCTATTTACTATTGGACCATCAGCAGTATTATATTCGGATTAATTATGCATTTGTTTACATTTTTACTAAATCGTATACACAATCGAGACAACAATAGTATTTTCGTGTAAACAGTGCACAGTTTCGTACGGTGTTCTAATTAAAAAGTTTCAGTCACTGTACTAATTTTAAAATTGTTTCGTATTTCACAATCGAATGTTGTGTAAACATCGATCGCGGGGAACTAGTTAAAATCGGTGGCCTGGGACCGAATAGTTTATTTGGCTTAACAATGTTTTTGCAATCCTGTTGATCATATACATTCATCAATTTTATATAAAAAATATATTTTTATGTGACTTTGTATACTGATCAGCCTACCTGATGAAAATGGTAATGGTGATAAGCTCAGATAATGGGTTATCGTAATGATTTATGGTACCACCTTCTCATGCGTTTCTTTGAATTGATGGTAATGGAATGGTTTTTTTTTTTATTTTTTGTTGCGTGAAAATGGTATGGTAACCCCGCCTGCGCTCACGGGATACGCTGGCGGAGCACCAGTGAAAGGTGATAGGTGAGAATGAAAACAGGCCAGTTAGCCCATCATGATGAATTTATTATGAATTAACCATGATAGTTTCCAGGGAGAACAGCGATGAAGTCGACCTGGTTGGGTATATTGCTAGCAATGCTAGCAATGGGATTCTCAGTCTTCATTACTAACAATCCCTTTCACTCCTATAATGGAATGGTTACGCCACCTGCGCTAACGGTATACACTGGCAGGGCTGGTGCGAGGTTGGTGTGAGGGGTGATAGGTGAGAATAAAAAGGCAGACTAGTTGAATCATGATTAAAACACCAGGAATTCAGCACGATGGATTTCAGGGGGACCACGTGGAGGTCGATTTTATGGGGCATATTGCTAGCAATGGGACTGTTAGTCTGCATTACTAACAATCCCTTCACCCCCCCCCCCCCTCCTCATGTGTTAGGTAGGCGTCCATAGAGAACACTACTCCTCATGTGTTACAATTTGTATAGACTAGAGTACCATACCTTCGTAGGTAGTAAATTCACTCACTCTGCGATTTAATAATCTAACGGACTATTCCTGTGGACTAGGGTATCATAAGTTCATAGTTAGTGTTATGCCTCCATGTCTTGTAATTTATAGCCATGTACATCAGAATTTATTAACTGTTAAATCAGCTGTCAACGATTAAATTTGTGGTTAAGATTAGTTTCAAATTTTAACTTGAAACTAATCTTAACAGTTAATTTTAACTTAAGACTATAATTTTTGGTTCGAGTTACATTAAAAAAATTGTCGTTAAATTTACCTTAAACTTAAATATATTACATTTACAGATTTATAACAGACTTAGTAGAGAAAAAATAAATACTAGTTACTTACCCATAATTGTTTTTAAGAATATTAATTATTTATTATCAAGTTTACATTACTATATTTGTATATTTTGTAATTATAGTACATTACTGCAGCGGCCAGCAACTGAGGCATTGATGGACGAACGTGCATACGTGGGTCCATCAATGCCTAGTTGTGGTCAAAGCTTGTATAGTACTTTTCTCAAACAATGCGCGGAAATCAAAACACAATTTTACTTTTTAAGTTGAATGGTGAATAACGAACAATAATAATTTTTCACGCGCCATAATATTCCTTTGTTTTTTTTTTTTCAATAAACAGCTTTCTATTTGCAAGCCAGTTCGAAATTTAAATAAAACCTTTTACTAGTTACCTCCTTGGTAGCCATGTTTCGAAGTAAAAGGTCACCCCATTTTTAAATTACAGGACAGATATGAGTTTACATAGTAATTTATCTGGCCGCAAAATACCATTATTTACTTTATTTATAGCAGAGTAGGACTTTGTACAAAAGTCGACTGCTTGGGTACCTCTGTCTCACTCGTGTTTCAACCGTGAAACAGTTGTGTTTGCATGGCTGTGTTTCGGTTTGAAGGGTGGGATATAGCGTGAATTTACTGGGTACAGAGGAATAACACCTGAGTCCTCGGGAATGGCAACGCATGGGGGGTATCATGGGTGAAACAGTATACTCTGTTATGTCCATGGCACTGCTCATGTCTATAGCGACTATAGGTGGGCCGTCAGCTTGTTTGCCATTCTAAGTTGTATAAAAAAAATTCAAATCAATACATTAATGAGATAAATATTACATAACACAGCCTCAAATTTGTACTCCTATTGAAGTACTATGCATAACATTCATTTCCGTGTGGTCCCGGCATAGAATAGGCCACCCATTCCTATTCCGTGGGTGTCGCAATTAAATGGTGGAGAGGTAGGGGAGATGGGCAGCAGCAGCATGGATTCCTCTTAAAACATATCCGAAGCCTAACTTCGGATTCCAATCCGCCTGTCAAGCGTGGTAACTACTAGCAAAATTCCACTTATGGAAAAGGCTTATGTTCAGCAGTGGACACTGGGATAGTTAAACAAATTATTCTTTTTTTTTTATTCTTTATTGACCACATGACAAAAAAAATGTCTGGTACAAAAGGCGGACTTAATACTATATATAGCATTCTCTCCCAGACAACCTTTGGCTAAACAGAAATTTTATTATGCGGTGAAAAAAATTACAACACATACAATAGAAATTTTATAAATATACATACATGAATACATTAAACAAATATTACATAAATATACATACATACAAATATAAATATACATATATAAATATACCTACATACTTATACCAGTATAATATATACTCATATTCCTATACCAGTATCTAATATAAAATAACGCCAAAAGACTAAACCTTTATTTTTTTTTTCAAATCAAAGTTCATTGGAGATATGTTTTTTTCAACAGTGATAGCTACAGCGCACAACATCACCTTCTTGGAGGTGCCCCGGTATGGTGACCCGTACCGGGACGCGAACCTCAACTGCCATTATATCAACGAGAAGGACGACCCCGACTTACATTCAGTCAAGTGGTACAGGGGAAACCATGAGATATTCCGGTACACTCCCGGGCAACAGGTGGGGTTTATTTATAAGTACATTGCTGATATTACTCACAACTCAGGTTACATGTTTCTTTCTATAACTAATAACGCAATTTTTAAAATATTTCTAGTCTAGTATTATTTAATTCCTTAAAATTGTTTACTTTATTTCATACTGTATAATTATGTTGAATCAAATGCTGTGAATACCTTTAGTTTACCAGAGGGAGACTTTGTACAAAAGTCGATTGCTTGGGTACCTCTGTCCCATTCGTGTTTCAACCGTGAAGCAGTTGTGTTTGCATGGCTGTGTTTCGGTTTGAAGGGTGGGATATGGCGTGAATTTACTGGGTACAGAGGAATAACACCTGAGTCCTCAGGAGTGGCAACGCATGGGGGGTATCATGGGCGAAACAGTATACTCTGTTATGTCCATGGTACTGCTTATGTCTATAAGTGACAGTTAACACTTTCCATCAGGTGGGCCGTCAGCTTGTTTGCCATTCTAAGTAGTATAAAAAAAAAAACCTTTTATAGGCATGTGTATTAATATTGTATTGTATTTAATGTTTGTTATATGTGTTATAAGGCAATATGTTGTTGGTATTTCTTTAAATAAATAAGTATACATATAATAAATAAGGGAACTTAATAATAGAGGGATGGGCAGCAGCGTCCCTTTTAAATCATCACTAAAAGCTGCCATAACATAACTGCGGCTGCCAACCTGTCTGCGATTACTGGCTAAACTCCCCTTCTAAAGGAGATTTTTGTTTAGCAGTGGACTGTTAATGGCTGATATGATGATGATGATGATACATATAATTGTAACTAGATGATAAATGACATAGGAAATATTTAACAAAAAAATAAATATACAAATAAATGATTACCTACTATACTATCAAAATCAATGCGTAAAATGTTGCAAGTAAAAAATAGTTTACTAATACAATAATAAATATAAAAAAAGAAATACTAATATTATAAAGGGAAAAGATTTGATTGTTTACCTTATTAGGGTTTATAGGCGTGAGTATAAATATTTTTTTATTTTATTTACGTAAATAACTGATCAAATTCTTTCACGTGTTAACGAATTAAGGTGTAAATCATTATTTTTATATATATGCATATATATATATATATATATATATATATATATATATATATATATATATGTATATGTATAACTCATCGCTGATGTTTAATGAAGCACTTGTCCACAGCCTCCAACTAGAACCTTCAATAGCACAGCTGGTGGAGTCACCAGAGGGTCTTGCAATCAGCACAGCTGCGCCATCAGCGTGGTGCTACCAAAGGCAATCAACACTAGAATATCCTTCACCTGCGAAGTATCCACGGAGGGGCCCAGATTTGCAGTCGTCAAGCAGACGAAGAATTTGACTGTTGCGGGTGAGTTGCAAATATTCAAATAGTTCAAATTGTTAATGACTTCTTCCATATCTCATATGAGCGGAATATATTGATCGCATCAAAAACATGAAATGTATAAAGATTGCCAAGTCTCGCAAAGAAGTTCCACCATTACATTAATTTAAGATTATGTTCTGTAAAAATCGACTTCAATTTAGCCACCGCTAAATTACATATTTTTATTATAAAAATCTAGTTATTTTAACTACTGAACCGATATTGATAAAATGTCTGTAGAACCAATCTGAAAGTAATGCCTTTCAAAGAAAAAAAAATCGGAATCGGTCTAGGCGTCTTTGATTAATCGGAGAATATACATACATATAAAATAAAAAAAAAATCCGACGAACCCCCTCCTTTTTTGAAGTTGTTTAATCAATTATTTTAGTCAGTGTCTATGGAAATACTTATTCAACAATTTTGTTATAAATTGTTATGTAATCAATTACCTATCAACATTTATACTGACAATAAATTTCAGTGACGACAAACCACTAGAAAGTTTAAGTATCGCTTCTCTTCTATCTTCAAGCTGAGTCCCTTACAGAGTAGGTAGAGAGAATATGTGTACCAGAATGACTTACATCCTTAAATACGCTAATATCTTTGTTTTAGTCATCTATTATGCTTCCAACCGCTTGATTAACTAACAAACATAATAAATAAATATTAGTAGAAAGATACTGAAGTCAAGTTATATTCGATAGACGACTACGTTCAATAAACAATTTTCTTTTTTAATATTCATAAACAACTTTTTAATATAGGAGTTTTTCATTGTATGTGTAAATAATTTTGTATACACAATATTATACAGTACCTTAAGATTTCATATTGTATATAAAAATCTTATATATATTTTTTTTTATATAACTTATAATGGCAAACAAGCTGATAGAAAGTGGTAACCCTCGCCTATAGACATGAGCAGTACCATGGACATAACAGAGTATACTGTTTCGCCCACGATACACCCCATTCGTTGCCATTCCTGAGGACTCAGATGTTATTCCTCTGTATCCAGTAAATTCACGCCATATCCCACCCTTCGAACCGAAACACAGCCATGCAAACACAACTGCTTCACGGTTGAAACAATCTATTCATCCATTGCTGAATAAAAAGGTTTCCCTAAATTCTTCTTATAACGCGGATTTAAATCATTTACGTCCATCAACACATTGCAACCCTTAACGTTGTTATTCTACTATCAATGTGTTTATCTTTAATCAGCCAGTTACCTTAAACTACATTTGTCTCCACGAGATCGACACTCGAATGCTTTTCTTCCTCAAGAACTATAGATTTCTCAATCGATGCTTTTTTTTATACCACTGAGATGGAAAACAAGCATACGGCCCACCTGATGGTAAGCGGTTACCGTAGCCTATAATACCAGAGGTATTACGCGCGCGTTGCCGACCCTGAAGAAACCTGTTTACCCCCCTTTTGATGCTGCAAATGTATTGCCATTTCATCTTGCTAAACCTTACATTCCTCTATAAATGTCTTATAGGCATGTTTAAGGGAGACTGGGAGGGTCGTGCCGACCCCAGAACTATCTGGTATCCATCCCAACATGTGAATAAAGCTCAAGCAATTACCGGTAAAATAGACTTTCCCATCCGCTCATTTACTAACATAGGTTAAGTAGATCTATAACTAACAAAATGGACCTTATGTTGTCTAAATAAATAAATAATAATTATTATTAAGACTATGTGCTAAAACATGTAACTAAGACATTGGCTAGGCTTTCCCTGGAAAATAATTCATTACGCCAAATCAACGTACATACCATTACTATCTCTCTCGCTTTCTCAATGTTTCAATCTTTTTGCTAAAATGCTCTCATTTTTCATACAGTTGTATTGAAGGAAGATCCGATTATAACTGGCATGCCTGGCAGCGTCCAGTTTGGAGAAGAGGTGCCTCTTAACTGCACCACGTCTCCTGCAATGCCACCAGCTAACATCGTGTGGTATGTTGACGGAAAAGCTGAAAGGGTGAGTTATTTATTAACATTATTTATTAGCGTGAATGTACTGGGTACAGAGGAATAACACCTGAGTCCTCAGGAATGGCAACGCATGGGGGGTATCATGGGCGAAACAGTATACTCTGTTATGTCCATGGTACTGCTCGTGTCTATAAGCGACGGTTACCACTTTCCATCAGGTGGGCCGTCGGCTTGTTTGCCATTCTAAGATGTATAAAAAAAAACATTACAGGGCTTTATAATTTTGATCATAAGCTAATTGTAGAGTCATTTGTATCTAAATTGAAAGATGCTAGTACTGATGAGACAGAACTTCTAATGAAAGATTCCTCAAGGCCACTTCAATGAATGGCGGTCCATTACAGTATATTTTGTGCGACATTTCTTTGAATATTTTTATTTATAACTTATTGTACCTAAAAAGAAGTTTATAATCTAATTTACAGTAATGGACTGGCATTCGTTGAGGTGATGTTGAGAAGTTATTTTAGAGATCTATCTATTTATGTATCATTTTAAATTTGTCTATTTAAACAATTAGAATGTAAAAGTTCTGATTGCAGCCACCTGTTATTTTTATTGTTAATAGCAAACAAGCTAACGACCTACTTAATGGTTAATAGTAAACTTCTAAACATAAACAGCACCATTGGCATCATAGACTGATTTTCATGATACTATACATGCGTTGCTATTCCTGGGAACGTTGTGCTTTCGTATCCTGTGATTTCACTCCCAAACTGAAACAAATGTTGCATGCAAGTATCGCTGTTGTATAGCAAAAACACGAGTGGAACAGAGATACTCAAACAGATGACTTTTGTACGAAGTTCCTTACCAATTAATTTGTATTTCAAGAAGATAATTCGATTAATGAAATAAACCTATAAATTCCAACAGAGGGAGCCTTGGATGGTGAATCACACCCAAGTCTCACACCCAGACGAATTTGGGCTACGTACAAGTTGGAGATCCCTCAGGGTTAGAGTTAACACTCCGAGAGGATACATGGCTGTGCGATGCGAAGCTACCCAGCCAATATGGCCGCCGTTTGTAAGATCCACAAACGCGACTCTCGTGGTCGCGAGATCACCACATTTATCCATGTTTACGGCTTCTGGTAAGTTAACTTAGAGAATAAAAAGAACATTTAGAAATTTAATAGCTCCTATCTGTATCATATATTCAAGTTATGGAATTCTCTGGCGAGTTATTTTGTCTAAATATATTTTGGAATCCTTTAAAAGAGCCATAAAAAAGTGTTTTTGTAAGCCAACATGGTTGAGGCCACAGCTTAGATGCAATCTTGAGTTGTTTCTGCAAGCGACATAGATAGATTTTCATCATTCACCATTAGGTATCTGAAAACTATATGTTGAGCCAGTATGGGGGAAAAAATATCTACGGCGGTTGATCTACAATTGTCTTTTCGAATGTATGCAAAGCTGCCTATAAGGTGTACTTGCAACTTTGTGCACATAACTAAGAAATATTAAGAGACCAAAGTATAAAGAATATTGATAGTAGAGATGTCCTCTATTCCACACTATATGTGTAACAAATTTAATGTCATTTACTTGATCTCTTAAAATGGCAAAAAACACTCACCTTATTAGTAAGAATAACTTTGAACCAACTTTGTGACAATGATCAAGAAACTAGTACTAGTAGTTACAATAGCGGATACAATATACGAACTTATTGTCACTTTTTGTTTTCTTTAACCTCTGTTTTTATTAGATCCTAATATACATAGATTATTTAGAATAATATTTATACTTAAATATTAAAATACTGATATAACCATGATAAATTTTCAATGGAGCTAATTAAGGAAACGAAGGTTCGCTAATTAACATCCTTAATTAAATTTAGTTCGGTTGCTCCAAGTTATGCTTAGCAAAGTGAAGAGTATTAGAAAATAAACATCAAATTATTTAGAACCGATAGTCAAGAAGTATTAAATTTAATATCTTAAACCGCTCACGTAATGAACAGTTTATCATTGATCATTTCAGTTCAATTGATCAAGTTTCAATTAACACATTCTTATCAATTGGTCTTTTTTTTATATTTTATTTGTTTAATTTTATTTTAGGAGCATTCATACCTGAATATAATAGTATTGCAATTATTCGTTAATTGAAAACAAAAAGTAATTGTGCAATTTTCAATATTTCCAAATTGTTTATTTAAAAACTGCTTCGATCGATCACAGAATAAGTTGCAGTAAAATCAACCCCAGAAAATGATACAGCTATTTTATATTTCGTTGTTGAAGTTTTTAAATATTTTGTTCTCATCAAAATGTACATTTTCAATAATAATTTATTATCATAAAAATCTAATTCCATAACAATATATTTCAATTAGAACTTTATCAAAATTCACTTAGCTTCTTAAGTTTCAGTTAGTAATTTATTTATACTATTATAGTGGTAAAAAGCATACTGCCCGTCTGATGGTAAACGGGATTACTGAAGCCTATGGATGCCTGTAACACGAGGAACATCATGTCTTAAAATACCTTTATATGCCCTTTTTGAAGAATCCCATGCTGCAGTCCATAGAGAAAGCCTCGAATGGAAAATTATTTTACAAACTGAATGTTTGCGGGAGAAAGCTCTTCTAAAACCACACTGTACGTAATTATATTGGTTCTAATGTGTGAGGATGGATTCTCTACCAATGGCGACTAGTACGATAGTAAAAAGTAGTTGTAGGCATCATATTGAAAATTTCTCAGAACATAATCAGTGGATTTTAAAACATTTCTCTTTCCAGGCATCAACCCGGCTGTTTCCCAAGTGTCGGTCCTCGTGATGACCGTCACACTACATATATTTTCTAAATACAGTGCCTTGAGTGAGATATAATGCAAGTAAGTCACTAAATGTGGGTAGTGGATAGGTAGTTACCAATTTGTCATCGTTTGTGGTCGCACGCCATGAAATACGACGAACGAAATTCACAGTTTAGATTTATTGCTCTCGATATCGAAAATCGTAAATTAGGCAACAACAGTCCGACCTATTTCTGTTGTATAGTTCATTGTGTTGTGATTTCTTTGTGAAACTTAATTATATTGATTGTATTTATTATTGTTACATTAGCCGTAAACTGACTACTGCTAACACAGGCCTTCCCCATAAGGGGAGGTTTGCCAGTAGTTGCCACGCTTGGCAGACGGGCTGGCAACCGTAGTTAGGCTTTTACTGATATTGAGAGACGCTGCTGTTTATCCCTCTACCATTAAGTTCTCTTAGTTGCTTCTTACGAAACCCACGGTTTCCCGTGGGTATCGGAAGGAGTGGCCGATTCTATGCTGAGGTTACATGGTAAACTTATTCATCAGAAACCTTAGTCATCAGAAATAATAACCCATACCTGTACAGAGAACCTTAGTTGTCAGGACTAATAACCTATGAGGTATTAAAGGCGTCTCAGTGTGTTCTCTGATATTCATGGCGCTGATCACGTCTATAGACAAAAGTTACTAGTTTTCATCAGGTGGGGCTTAATTAACTATTGGAAGTTTCATTACGAAGTCACAAAACAAATATAAAAGCCCATAAAAATAAATTAATGTGTCTAATATAAACAGTATCGTAGTAAAATGGAGTTAATGACTCTCCCAAAGTTAAATTATTTTAATCCTGCATACAGCTGCTCTAGACAAATGGCGAAGAAATCTGTCGATACGTTTTTATTATTTGCGTATATACGTTTTTATTACGTTGATAAGAAAGCGCAAAAAGCCAGGTGATGCTGTCTCATTCTGGCTAGTGTACGCAGCGACAACGTGTCTATCGTTGTAGTCTATTTCAATAGAACTTAATACAAACGTAGATTAATTAATAACCATAATCCAGTCTACTGATGCCCAATAATAGTATGAATAAAAAAAGATCATCGATTGAATGTTTCGATTTATTAGTAATTATGTATATTTAGAGAAAGGAAGAAATGATCTATTCTATGCCATGTGGTTCCGGCATAGAGTGGACCATCCTTTTATTTCCAGTGAGTGTCGAAATAGGCGAATAAAGGAACTTAATGTTCACAGCATTTCTCTTTAAACATCACTAAAGACTAATTGCGGTTGCCAACCTTTCCGCCAAGCGGGGCAATTACTGGCAAAACTCTCCTTGGGACTGGGGAAAGCCTATATTCAACAGTCGACAGTTAACGACTCACATAATAACAATAATATTTACAGAGTGTTTCTATGGTAGTTTCAATACAATTTGCATTAAGTTCTATTGAAACAGTTTCGTACGCCACTTGTCTGTAGAGGAATACACTTATTGTATCATTCCTCTCGCCGAGCAACATTTGTATTCCCCTCAGATAGTTCAGTATTGCAGCGCGATATTATCTCTTTTTACGTAAATCAGATTATTTCTTCGCGTTTTTCGAGAGAAATAAAAAAAGAGATTTGTTGAGTTATTGTATTACCCGACGCGAACCGCGGACCAATTTCTTTAAGCTCGATGTTCAAAACGGATACCGTAATGATCGCGTGTCGACTACAAATTATATTTAGCAAGGGACACACCACGTACATGGAGTATGAAGTTTGTAAGAAATAGAAAAAAAAGAAAATAAATTTCTTACGTTCTATTGGACCTATATAGTATTTCTATAGCCTATTTCAATAGAAGTTCAATAGAAGAACAAAAATGTAAACAAAATTATAATTGACTCAAACATAAAAAAAATTCCACATGATTTGATTCCTCCCTTTTAATGTCGAATGATCAGACGGGGTGAAAACCTGCACCCATACGTCGTAGACATACCATTTATACGCACGAAGTACTTTACATCTACCTTCATCATGTATATGGCCAAGGAGTGGATCTCTCTCCCTGCTTCTGTTTTTCCATCTAAATATAATCTGTACCAATATAAAGCAAATGTGAATAGGCTGTTTATGAGCCTGCGAGCCCTATCTTAGACCATAACATCGCTTTTCATCACGTGAGATTGTGATCAATTGCGTACCCGTGTCAATAGTAAAAAAAAAATTAATCGTAGTATATCCTATGCTACTGTGTTAGGTTGTCTGGAAGAGATCTCTTTTAGAGATAAGTTCGCCTTTGCTAACATTATTATTAACTTATTGTTGTTACTGTATGTTTTAGTGCATTATGAATAATATATTAATTATAAAGAATATATTAATTTCTATTGAAATAGGCTGTTACTTACAGGTAAATCTGTGTAAAATATAATGTAAACTCTAAGTATTAAGAATAAAAATTACAATTTTATTAAAAAAAAACAAGTATATTACATAAAATTCAAGAAGAATATACACGTAATTATGTGTGGGAGTAAATTTATTTATTATAATACTATACACAATACAGTAGACACGATTGCGTATAACACATGCCAAAAATAGTTTCATCAGCGCTAAAATAAAAGAAAATAAAAAACAGTACTGATTGCTTGGTGGACTTAATACCTAACAGCGTCTTATAATAATAATTACTTTTATCATGATAAATAACATAATTATAACCAACTACGATATACAATAATAAAAACTTAAACCTACTTAGTACTTTATACTGTTTGCAGTTCTTTGGAACATGTAAATTTACATTTAAAAATTCGTATTTCCATTTCAATACTATGAAATAGAACTATTTCTACATATTCTATAAATTACCAGATAAGTATTATTATGTTAAAACAAAATTAAAACAAAAAAATAAATTCAAACGTAATTAACAATTTCCTAATTGACGTTCATTTATAATCATTAATAATGATAATCATAATGAATCATAACCATTATTAATGATTATTAATCATTATCTTATAATCATACAGTGATTATGACTGTTAATAAAATATAATAATTCTTGTTTCTAATCTACAATTTCCAAATAAATATTATGGAAAACGCACTTAAGATAAGTAAGTGCTTCTTATTTTTCCTTTCTTCCTAATATTCTCGTTAGACCTGATCCTTTCCACAATTAATTACGAAATAAATGTAGAAAGCTTTCTTGTAGACAGTTATTATTATGTCCATAATGAAAATAGTATTCGCTGGGAAAGAATTATATTAGGCTGTTACTTGTAATATCATTATAGATAAAATCTTGGCATTAATACTGTGCCCTCTATAAGTTATTACTTTGTACAAAGGTCGTTTGCTTAACCACTTCTGTCCCATTCGTGTTTCAACCGTGAAGCAGTTGTGTTTGCATGGCTGTGTTTCGGTTTGAAGGGCGGGATATGGCAGTAAGTTTACAGAGTACAGAGGAGTAATACCCGAGTCCTCAGGAACGCATGGGGGGTATCATGGGCGAAACAGTACACTCCGTTATGTCCATGGTACTGCTCATGTCTATAGGCGACGGTTACCACTTTCTATCAGGTGGACCATCCACTTGTTTGCCATTCTAAGTTGCAGTCTCTTAGATCGACAAATTAGTTGTTAAATTTCTGATCTTTACATTAAAATAATGCACACAAATATTTTTTTTTATTTTACTCAGTTATAATCTGAGAATGTGAGGTATTTTTAAAAATCATTGATCACTTTCACATAGATGACATCTATATTTGTGTTGCGTGATGTGTTCCTTTTTCGATTGGTCATATTTTTTTTTAAGGGTGACAATGGAATGGTTATCCCGTCCGCGCTATCGGTATACGCTGGCGGGGTACCAGTGAAGGATGATAGGTTACGATGAAAGCAGGTCAGTTAGCCCAATGTGACGAATTCCACTAGAATTAACCACGATAGTGTCGTGAACCGCGTGGAGGTCGATCTGATAGGGTATATTGCTAGCAATCAGTTAGACCCCATTACTAACAATCTCTTTCCCTCCGATAGGTCATATTTGAGTCATAGATAAGAGATGAGATTAGCTTGAGAGAACTTATGTCCCTTATTATACATACATTACACCACTTATACTGTAGTAATATTTATTTACTTTATTTATCTTACAGAAAATATTATAAAATAAAAGACCTGTACAATTATTATGTACATTTACATTCACATGTTTTGCTCTTTTAAGGGCAAAGCAATAAACTGAGTTGTGACCATTTTGTGTTACTATGGTACAAGCATGAAGGAAGGGAAAGAAAGGAGATTGTTAGTTTATATATTTTGTTTTATTTTTTGTTTTTTTTTTATTTTCATTCTTTTATCTCTTTTACTGTGTATTATGTGTATGTTTTTTTTTATTGTAATTTGTGTGCTGTAAGTAATGTAAATAAATTATCTATCTATCTATCTATTTAATGTGCCTATATAAATTGAATATCAATATGGAATTATGACTTGAGAGTCTACAACTCTGAAAGATGTTGAAAACCAAAGTATACCTCGCATATAACTCCCAGTAGTAAAGAAACGATATTTTATTTCGAGCATAAAAGGAATACATCTAGGATATGAGTATAAAATACCTTTCCTGGCGTGCGAACCACTAGCATTGCTGTATCGGATGTCCATATATTTATTTTATACAGAAATGAAAACAAAGTGTAAAATGTACTTTGTCTAGGTGCTTGGGGATTCTAGCCTGTTCGTGTTGAGAATTGGATGCATTTTGAAGTATTACGAATTGTATATATTATTATAAATATATGATATATTATGTATCACTTTGTAAAAAGAAATCGAATGGAAAATTGCTCAAAAATAATTTTATCATTTTTCTATTTTAATATTTATAAGTAGAATTAATTTATATATTTAATTAATTAATAGGGGTTTTTAATTTAACAATAGCAAGATACAGCAATGTACCGATGACTGTAAGGATGTCTAAAGTACCTATAAAAATATGATTAAATCAATTATTCTATAAATAATAGCAAGCACTGAATTTCGATGTTTTATGTCACGAAAATTTGTAATTATATTTACATATGTTGGGGGGGCTGAGGCTAAAATAAAGATAGCTAAGGGCCTTATTAATAAATATATTAAAAAAATCAGAAATACAATTATTTATTCTTTTAATTTTTTAGAAAATATATTTCACATAATTGAATGTATAATTTTTCTCTTTAACACATTAATTTATAAAACGAAAAAAACTAATGTATAATTATATTAAATTTAGTTTATGTAATGTATTGTAATGTAATGTATTCAGTATAATAAATAAATGTTTAATTTATTTATTATACTGTATAGACACACTTTTATTTAATTTATGAATACCTACACTGAATTAAAAAAAAAAGAAAACTGAGTATAAAATTCTTTTAAAATAAAAAGTATTAAAAGTTTCTGATTTATAATAATTTATTAATAAGGCTATCGATTTAAAAACATTGTATTATAATTCTAAAAAGGTAATAATAATATTGTTGTTATAATTACGTGTTGTATAAGATATTGTATATTTGTTATATAATTGTTTTATTGTTTAATTTTGTGCAACGAATTTAACAATTACTCGTATTATTTATTACAATCGTGCTATAGCTTTTTATATTTTTAATGATATTTTTAACAAATTAATTCTTATTGGTAATTATAAACCATTTATCATCATCGTTAAATATAAAAATCTATAACAGATTATTTATTTTATTTTACAATAAATTCCATTTTTGTAATGTTAATATTGTGTTGTTAATTAATTTTAATAAATACAATTTTTCATTGCGCTAGACTGTAAATTTTTTATAGCGAAATGGCTCATCAAATATTATAAATATGGTCCATGCATGTAAATATAATGATGTATTTATTATGTCTATACATTTGGTAATAATTTATTATTACCAAATGTATGTAAATGTTTTATATAAATTACTAATAAAGTATCATTGATAAATCATTACAACCCGTCACCATTCCGCACCTGAGCACCGATCTCTTCAGGTACAAAATGAGTTTATTGATTACATATTATTGATACAGAGGTATAACACTTTAGTCCTCAGTAATGGTAACCCATGAAGGGAATCATAGATGACACATTATACTGTGTTATGTCCAGGGTACATCAGGCGGGACGTCAGCTTGATTGCCATTCTAAGCAACAATAAATAAAATTGTGGCCAAATGGTTTGGTGCGGGGTTTTGTTTTAATTTCTTTTTCTTGGGCAGATATATCATAATTTGTTCCTTTAGTTGCCTTTTATGATATCCTGGGAATGATAAGAAGCGGCGACACATTTCACTGATGAAAAAAAAAAAATGAAACCAGTCAAAATAAAATATAATATTTGCGTAATTTCAAAATGATAATACATATATGTATTTTATGTTAAATTACAAAAGATATAAAATGAATGAAGGAAAAAATGTTTTCTTATAATGTATAATATTTTGTGTATATATATGAATTATTTACTTAAATAAATATTTGAATATTATTTACATTGATACCTCATTACTTTATAGTTCAAATAATATTTGAATAATTTTAATAAAATATTTAGCGATTGAAATATTATCCTAAATATTTATTTACAAATAACAAAAAAAGTAATTAAAAATTTTAAAAATTGTAATATTTTGATATTATGATTCATTATTATTATATATGCATGGACTAATACTTTTACTTCACTAATATCGTGCCACATTTTTCTCTTAATATATTTAATCGTGTGTAAATTGTAAATATAACGCGAAATAGGTAGTCGAAATGTCTAAAATATAGAAATGAGAGTATATTGATTGGATCCATTCTATGTTATGATATTTAGTAATAAGGAGACGGTATTCTTTGTACATTTCGCTTGAATTCACATAATCGTTTTCCTTCATTGGAAAGATGGGTCAATATATTGACATTGAGTCGTAAATGCCTACAATAATCATAAAGTAGAAACTTGGCTACGAGATCTGGACAGAATGGAGGGAAAATATATAAAACGATCACTTGTGATATAATCTGCGTTCCCATCCTTTTCTCTCGCACTAAAAATGGTAATGAGCGACAGAGAAAATGTGATGTTTTAGCGTTGCTTTATATACACCATTATCCTAGTTTCATATGTAAATAGCAGATTTTACGCGGTAAATATCTACAAGATTTACAATTCTATTACAGAAAGAATATAATCTTTTCTTATTTGTATGTAAATAGCAAATTGCTTACGTCACAATTATTTCATACAAATTCTCATACATCGAGAGAACTCATACATTTAATAAGCAAATATTATGATTTTGAATTTACGAAATTTATTGAAGGAAATTATTTTCATTTCGATTCTTGATATATTATCATCATATCTTGTGTAATAGTGAGCAAATTTTTGCCACGCAGTTTATTTTTACGATTTCTTGTACAAAATTTTGAAATACATATGTAAACGTGAGTTGTGTACGTTATTCAGAATTTTATAAAAAAAAAACACCCAATAATAATAAACGAAACAAATGTGGTCGACAGTTTTTGTCAACAAAAGCCTTTGAGTACCTCATTTGAGATTACAGTCGTGAGTATATTTATTTTTAATTTTATTTCTGTAAATAACTGACTTAATTATTTCACATACTAACGAATGAAGTAAATCATCAATCATTAACTTTTTAACGATCGATGATATGAATCATCAATCATTAAAAAATAATTACCTACACGACTTACACGATCGATAAAGAATCGTTTGTCTCCTTATTACTAATATTATTTAAATATATTAATATATGTTAATCCTATTTAATTTGTTCGATTAGTAAAAGTCCACCCTGTAAAAAAAAAATGGTCAATTTCGAGCACTATCAAAATGTTCTGTGATACATGTGTTTATTAGTTTATATTGCATTATATAAATTATATGTAATATACGATATTGTCATTGGATGTTTCGTTCTTAATGGCGATAATAAACGTATTTAATGATTAATGTGTCTTATTTATTTATTTCATAAAAAAGCCAAATTCATTATCGTCATCGTTATCGTTATCATCATCATCCTGTCCTTATCCTAATTATTTGGAATCGACGTAATATTAATATTACACAAGGTTTTGGTTTTACGACCGGCCATCTGTCTAATGTCAACCCTTTTTGGGAACCAAAACAGACATACCAGACTACGGAGACTTTGTACAAAAGTCGTTTGCTTGGGTATCTCTGTTCCATTCGTGTTTCAACCGTAAAGCAGTTGTGTTTGCACGGCTGTGTTTCGGTTTGAAGGGTGGGATATGGCGTGAATTTACAGGGTACAGAGGAATAACACCTGAGTCCTCAGGAATGGCAACGCATGGGGGGTATCATGGGCGAAATAGTATACTCTGTTATGTCCATGGTACTGCTCATGTCTATAGGCGACGGTCACCACTTTCCATCAGGTGGGCCGTCAGCTTGTTTGACATTCTAAGTTGTATAAAAAAAAAAACTTCATATGGGATGAAAATAGTATTTTAATTCCGCCAGCGCTATCGGTATATGCTAACGGCGTACCAGTGAGGGAAGATAGATAAGGATGAAGTCGAGTCAGGTGGCCTATTGAAACTTTAATGCACAGTGAAATTCTATGTACATTTGGTGGACTTAACACCGGACGGTGTTCTCTATCGCCTATTCTATTCTACCATGGCCTCTCGCTATTGACAAGGAGTTCACCGACATACCTTAGAGCCTAGATGGTCGCGTACGGCGCGGTTTCAGAAATGTTTCCTTGCGAATGCTTAAGCTATGGAATGAGGTCCCTGTCTAGGTTTTTCCAAGAGACTGTAGCATGAGTTTCTTCAAAAAAGGAGTAATGCCTTTGGCATTGAAGGTGTTTATAGGCTACGGTAACCGCTTACTATCAGCTGTATATTTACCTAATGGTAAGCGGTTACCGTAGACGAATACATTAATAGGTAAGATGACGACGGAGACTGTAGTATTATGAGAATTATTTTAGTATCAGAAATTGCATTTTTTATTGTGCCTCCGATCAAACTATTGATAACTACTCCTCCCTATCCAAAGGTTGCATGGAAGAGATCGCTTTCAGCGATAAGGCCGCCTATTGTTTTCTCAGTATGAATATTTCTTGGCATTGTTTGTATCTCTTCATAGTAAGTTTACTACTGTAATCTTTTGGAGGAAACAATAAAAACTGTCTTTCTATATATTTACATTGGCATAAGATTAATGTAGATTCCTTATTCTTTGGAGTTTTCAACGTTGACTCAAAAAATACACACATTTTTCTTATAACCTGATATCTATATTAAATGTGAATGTACAGAAGAATTTAAAGAAAGAAATAATACGAGTCTAATACGAAAGTAAATCCAATCGATTGAAAACTAATTATCAAGTTCAAAGTTGACAGCATGATTCTGTAATAAAGTTACAAAAAATTGAGAGAACATTCTTCTTTTAGAAGACTATTAAAAAAGTTACAAAAAAAAATAATAATGAGAGAACATTCTTCTTTTAAAAAAACATTAAAAAGTTTAACTCAACCTCGAATCATATTGCGCTGAATCCGAAATATGAGGTTTTCTTCTGTGAACCTTACGTACGAACCGCCATAGTTATAAAATACTACAATGAGAATGCGAAGCTCCCTAAATTCGGAAGCATTCACCTCGTAAATACGCTCCGATAACTCTTTGCCAGGGAGCGGGAAAAACAAACGTACTTACATTATAAATATTATATGAGCAATCATTTTATATGCCCATGTATTTTTCAATGTTTATCAACTCTTCCGCCTCAATTATCTACGCTTGATTGAAGTGTTTTTTTTTTATTACTTTTTATTGATTTTTTTTAAATGAATGATAATGGAATGGTAACCCCGCCTGCGCTAACAGTACCACTGGCGGGGCACCAATGAGGGGTGAGAATGAAAAGGCAGGTCAGTTAGCCCATCGTGATGAATAGATATAGAATCCAACACGATGGTTTCTAGAGGGAACCACGTGGAGGTCGACCTGACAGGGTATATTGCTAGCAATGGGTCTGCATTACTAACAATCTCTTCCCCCACTTTTTACTGATTGAAAATGGAACGGTAACTCCGTTTATGTTATTGGTATATGCTGGCGATGTACTAGGAGTACATGATATGTGAGGATGTTAGGTCAAGTTAATCAACTAGCATTAGAAATCGCCTGCTCTCTTACTTGTCAAATATAGCGTATCAAATACACTATAACTAAAGTACTCAGACGGATTAAGATGTTTTTTTAATAGATGGCAATGTAATAGTTACCCTGTCCACGCTAACGGGATGCGCTGACAGAGCACTAGTGAGAGATAATAGCTGAGGATGAAGCTGGTCAGTTAGACCATCGTGACAAATTCAACAATACATCAATCACGACGGTTTCCAGGGGAAACC